ACTGTAACTCTCCAGATATGAGACATGGTCCTCCTAGATCAGTGATGGCGAACATATGACACACTTGTCAAAGGTGACACGCCGCCACGTTTTGGGTGACACGTTAGTGTTCACCAGCACCTGACAACAACTATTCTCCCTGTTTGAGTTACCAAAGAAACTGAGTTTGTTTTACTTGTATTTCATTTTGGTAATTATTTGATGTTTCTTTATCCAATACATAGCACCACTCATGATTGGACTGTATTTTTTAAAAATAAATGAATACATGAAGAATTGTTTTTCTTTTGTTTGGGTGTGTGTGTGTGTGTGTGTGTGTGCACGCACACGCGACATGCCAGCAGAGTTAAATTAGGCATTTTCCAAATTTTTGACACACTGAGCCCAAAGATTCACCATCATTGTCCTAGATGAAGAGATGGAGAAAGGGCTTATTCACAATATATCAATCTCAAGCTCAAATTTATCCTCACAGCCACCGTCAGGTAGGCCAGCCTGAGAGAAACACAATGGAATCAGCATCTTTGGCCCTTTTCACACCATTCCCCCTGCAAATAATTCCTGATCTCCTTTGCCACGTTTGAAAGCAGTGTAGTGCATGCAGGTCAATGCATTTTTAACAGGCAGAGAGGGGGAAAATGTATGCACAGTGATAGTGGCTGGAATCGTGGACACCCATTAAACTCTAATCAAGCAGTCTTCAATTCAGGGTGCTGCACTGTTCTGGATTATGCATCGAGTCAATTCTGGTGCAAGGACAGCAATTACCACTTAAAGTAATTAAAACTTTTAGACACATGATATTGAGAACAGAATTAGAAACCTTCGCTTGTGAACAGCTGGAGGATTACCAGAGAAAGTGGAAGACAAAACATTTACATGGTAATTCCAACATAGATTGGTGCTGTCCTTTTTGCAATTCAGAAGTATGATTTTTTGAACTGGGTGGTACCATATAGACATTATGATTTAAATCTAAGGATCTGTAGAGCATCTCAAATTTGGTCTGCATATTATACCTCTGTGGCTATTGTTTGCGTTTTTTTAAATGCTGAAAAATCTAAATTTGCAGTTGTACATGACTCTCCTTAATACATGCTATTTTTTTTTCCTACATACTACGTTCTTTTTAAGGATAAATCTGTTCCAAAGTACACTTTTTTTGAGCCAATTTTTGAGCAGAGTGCAACGGATGCCAGAAGACCCCTTTTCTTGCTGCCACAATGGAGTTCCTTTTTGGGTTGACTCCATTTTAGACCCCCCAGAAATTCATTTCTTTTACATCCCCTATTTGTGGTCACTGAGAGCTACAACCTTCATGAATCTGTCTAATCCTGCTACAGGCAAATGTATAATACATACATCTCTGTCCATCTCTGTAAAAGAAAATAAATATAAAAGAGGTGTGGTCATCAAAGAGTCTTTCAATCTTTCAGAGAATATCTTACAGAGAAAGGCTCGGTACAACTGGTTCTTACAAAAGAAGAGAAATGCACTAGTGATACCTTGAGAGCAGAATATTGCAGTTCTGAGCTCTCCGACCATCTATTACTGAAAGCTCCTTGACTTTATGCCTGGAACTCAGTGTGTCATCAAGGGAGTCTTCTTTCTACAAGAGGTATGAAAAGAATCCATTAATAAGAAGATGCTCATTGATATATTAGAAGTTCCAGCACATGCCAGTACCTCAAACATCAATCAAGAAGGTTTACTGAGGCCGACGATTAAAATCCAGAGCCTGTAACTGAAACACAATCAGCTGTTTCATAAATTGGAATGTTATCCAGAAGGGGGAAAAAACAGGCTATTGGTTACAAATGTATAAATATTTATCCAGATGGAAAGATTTAAGAACCCACAAATATACAGATTGTGAGGAACACGGAGAGTCTTTTCTTAGCATGGATATGTTGTGACATTTTATTTAGAGCTGGTTACTATCAGCTGGGATATTGCAAAGGAAATTTTTTATGATGATTTTAAATGGAAGAGCCATTGTTCAGTGACAGAGTACCTCCCTCGTACGCAAAAGGTTCCAAGTTCAGTCTCTAATATTTCTAGTTGATGTGTAACATCTGGAGATGAGTAACAGCTTGGGTGTGACAGACTTTTGCCTGTCAAGGCAGATATTACTGGCATAGAGAGAAAGCTATTCCAACTCCAGATAAGGCTCCTTTACCTTTAACATTGAACAATGAAGTGGAAAGTTATCTGTCAAGTCAGACTTTTGATCCATCTAGTCCTGTATTTTCCTTTCTGACTGGCAGAAACTCTCCAAGATTTTCAACAGGAATCTTTCTAAGTCTGGTATCAGAGATCTTGACCCTGGGACCCTCTAGGTGCAAAGCAGATGCTCTACTATGGATCTGCTCTTCAACAACTGTAACTTATGAAAAAGTGGCAGGACTATGATTCAGTTATAAGGGGGTAACATAGGGTAGGTACAAATCCAAGAATGGGACAGGCATAAATGGATTCGAGATAGCAGTCTTTTCCAGTCTCATGCCCTGTTAAACCCAGCCAGGATGTCATTCAAGATGGATAACAGATGGAATCTAAAATATCTGGAGGATTCTGAAGTGGAGAAAAGTTGGTTTAACATAACTAACAACTGGTTGGTTGCAGCCACAGAAGGTATTTGGGATATTCATCCAAGTTTTTTTGAAAATCTGAGATAGTGCAACCCAAACTCAAGTTGGTTCAGTCCACATGCATACATGCATACATACATATGTTTATAATTTCTTTGGTAGCAATACAGAAGTAGTTTATCATTACTTTCTTCCAGGATGTTTTTTTTTAACAGTCTAGCTCAGTGTTTTTCAAACTTGGCAACTTTAAGATGTGTGGACTTCCAGAATTCCCCAGCCAGAATTCTGAATTTGAAAAACACCGGGCTAGCCTATAGACCTAGAATTCCCTAGAATTGTCCCTGTACTAGGCACTGCAGACCCTGCTTAATTGAAAGGGTCAGCCAGATGCTGCCATCTACTGCGCACACAGAGAGTGAAATATATACTGTATGTATAAACCACTCTTTGACAGAGCCATGTACTTTATGCTATTTACCTTATATCCATTGACAATATACCTGAATATTCACAAGGTCTTTAAAAATTAAAAAAATTAATTCTACCATTCCCCACTGCTCTGCCTGAATGAACCGAGGACTCTGTGTAATAAAGCATTAGTCAGTTGGAAAAATAAATAAATAGTTTGCAAAAAATAAGATGAGAATAAGTAAAGAATAAGTCACTACTACCCAAGAACATTAGACTGATTCTAAATGTTCACAACATTGGAACTGCCGACTGAGAGACAAGACTTCAGTACTTTTATATCTCTGCTATAAATGACTTTATTTTTTTAAAATGCACTCTAGTTCTTCCATATACAGTTGTGTGAAAAAGAAAGTACACCCTT